AAGATGCCCGTATCGTCTTTGGTGACTGTTATAAATACGATATATATAATCTATTGAATAAGGATATGCTACATCTGTGTTGCAGTGTGGCTTAGCAAGCACCTATAGCAGCCCAGCCATAGCGGTATAAAAGATAACACTTTATTTCTTGGGGAAATGGAGCAGTTATATTACAGTTATGAAGGCAGCCTGACCTCAGCACCTCTCAAATAAAGCTATTAGCCAGACTCAACCTTAGTGCAAAAAAAGGACATTTGCTATTCCCTGCTAAACTTTTGTGCGTTTTGCAGTTTGTGTTTTTTGTCTTGCAGTGGTAATTTTGCGATTGCGTAACTATGAGGCGATTACATGGTGGAGTGTTAGGCTAGAAATATTTCCAACCTGAGTTTTGGTCACCTTGGGGGCGATGACGATGGAAGTGGAAGCCAATTTAGCAGCAGGAGTTGCGCCATTGGTGACGCAGAGGAGTTCTTAGGAAAGGCAGGTTCAAGAGCAGTTTTGATGACATGGAAAATTGTTGTACTAATGCTTTTTCTTCCTTTTCGTTCTTTTTTCCCTTCAGAAACTTTTGGATCAAGTTCTGCAAAGATAAACACAAGAGGACAGAAGGACATCCACATCATTTGCAGATCAGCATCTAAATTGGACTCTGAAATTCAATTTATGTTGTTAATTGCTCCGCTAATGCTTGGCAGATAATGAAATCTACCTTGCAGACATTGCTAATAGACAGTTGAAAATAAGCTTAGTGCTGAAAGATATTCAGGTTAGTTTTGTGATAAATATGAAAAAAAAATTTACTGATTCTTAATAGAATGCGACTTCATCTGAGGAAGTTTATGTAACGAGATGTGTCTTCAGTTCTTTTACTGTTTAGAGGTACCCACAAAACCATTTTAAATCACACTGAAACAGAATCTATAAAAAAAACAAAACAAATGATTACAAAAACATGTCATTTTTTATGGCTTATCTCAATTGTGCTGAACTGAATTCCCCCCAAGTCCCTAAAGCTTTCTTAGCTCTCTTGGAACAATTCTCTCCTCAATATATTAGTACATTATCTCACAAACACTTTAAAATACCATGCAAGAAAGAAACATTTGAACATTCTGTCTGTAAGATTCTTAACAAGTGTTATTTTTTATACACAGTTATTCTCAGTGTCACAATTTGGCTCCAACAAACCAGAGATATTTTCAAAGGACATTGTAATGTGTGTGCTGTGTGCATAATTGTACCAGGATATTGAATGCGATTGCTCTGAGCTAAACACCTTGGCTGTGTCATTGGTGTAGTAGATGTTTATAATGTAAAAGGGTGGGTGGAGGGAGGTAGGGCCAGCGGTTTGTCATTGAATCCATGTATGCCTCTGGGCCTCTGGAACCTCCCATCCGGAACAGTGGAATTCCAACCTAATCGAACTCAGGAGACGCATATCGGAGTGAAAGGGGCCCTTTGTCACCCGCTCAAACCAAAGATGACATTGTAATAACAGAGGACGCTTTGGTCTAAACATATAAACTGCAGGAGTGACTGATATAGGTTTTGCATTGAAGCCTTCTGTGGGTAGAATGACAAAGGAGAAGTCTGAGTCATCACTTGGACATTAAATGTGATCATGCCTTGTGCAAAATATTACATAACAATACTTTTACTTGGGTTCGAATTGATGTAAATGGAGACTTTGGACCACCTTACAACTGCAATTGACCAGTAATGGGATTCTTAGACAAATCCCATCAACTGAAGCACTAGAGGACTACATGATAAGTTGGTTCAGTGTGTTTTTTACCTAAAGTTGACATAAAGTAGTGTACTGTTCCTTTAAATAAGTGACTTTCACAGATGATCGATTATAGCCTACAGCAAGATGTATCATCTAAAAACTACATGTATTCAAATTTGCTGACTTGCTGTTGACTCTGTTCCTATCAAGGCCCTGCGCAGAGTGATTCCCAAGGGAGGTTTGTTATGCTGCCATGTGGGCTGGTTCCAGAGACTGCACGGGGACTGACACTGAAACGTATGCACGGAGAAGGGCTGCTGTCAGTCTTATAGTCATCATGTGTCTGCTCGTCACATTGCTATCTGCACAGAATGTAGACTGGGTGTGTGTGTGCATGCGTGTGTTTGTGTGTGTGTGTTTGTGTGATGAGGGTCCAACATGGCATCACACGTGGCCTTGACTGATTTGGATGCCTGGAGGGGAAAAATGATACGCTTGCCTCAGAAAAAGAACTTACAAAAGACCAACCAGCAGATCTTACCGTGGCTAATTGTGAGCATCTGAGCTGAGCTGCTGATTAAAATCATTAGTCATTTGACTGGCAACCGTGGCATGTGAGTCTAGCCACTGTAGCACAAGGAAAAACATGCAGAGAGGTACATCTGTGCTTAAAATGATTTATGATAAAAGAGACTTACCTGTTACTCTGGCTATTTTAAAAGAAAAACCAGCAACAAAAACATGAATTATTAATTAATTCAGTGAGGAAAGAACAGCATGCTCAAAGTTTGTGTTCATTAATCTTTGTCTGAGCGAAGATGCTATCTCATCTCAAACAGCGTGTTTGAACAAATGTTTTGGGTTTCAAATTTAGATGTATTTGACCAAAATGTGACTCAAAGACAAAGTATATAAAAGAACAATTCATTTACAGTAAATCCAGCATGCATCAAACTAAGGCATTTATTGTGTTGTGTTTTAAAGTGGGACTTAACATCAAAACTCTGTTCACAACAACATGTCAAAAAGAGCTGCTAATCTGGGCAATACATGGACGAGTAAACCGGAGAGTGAGGGGAAAGGAGGGGCCAGGTCTGGACATATAAGGAACAATGTGACTGGTCAGACGTTTCAAGCTCCGCCCCCTATGTTTGTGGTCAGAAACACCCGGCTGTAATCGGGATAGTCTTGGGTGATGTCACCAAGCACTTAAAATTGCAGACCCCACTGGAGCAGGACACACTATTTTTGATGTTTTTGACCAGAGAGCTACAAATCTAGTTTACACTAAAATGACCAAAAAGCACTAGGAACAGTAGACCGTGCTTTTAACACACCATATACAGTTTAGTGGCAATGAAAAGCTGATTTATTGTTTAGTTCCACTTTAATTTGGCTGTAACACAAATTGTTGATTGAATTTTTTGATCATTATGTAACTCGCGTCTGAGACTTACATTTGTTAAAATTATACTCTAGACTTTTGATCATTTATCATTTATTTACACTGTGACCAAAACAAGTGAACTGTTAGCTCATCTAAAGTACTGTCTAAATATCTAAGAATAAATGCTTGGAAACAATGGAAGATGACCTGGCCTAGTACAACGCAAATGCAATTTTCCACAGTTTGTCTTGCTTTAGTCCAGTGAACCGACTACTGCAAAGACATCTGTGGCTCTGTGCCTACAGCAGAAGCAGACTAAAAAGATTAGTCCAAACCAGACCTGGATTTTGCACAACACACAGATGGGGTCAGTGACTATCTCACCTCACAGGTATTTCAGCAAGAGGGATGGCTTGTCACTTTAATTGCTGAACATTCATTTTCATGTTATAAGATTAATTGCATCTAGCGAGCCTCTTCATCTTGAAAGTTAGATTTGATAATCCATAAGGAATTTGAGTACGAATACATCAAATCTATGACATTTTTTCACTGAGATCAGCAGCCTAAGTTTAATCTGTTTTATGCTTTGATTTTTTCCACTAATATTGCAAGAAGATAAGAGTATTTGAGCCTGCCTTCTAATCAAATGCCACCAGTAGAGTCAGAATTAGTGTAGATCTTGACTGAATGCTTTACACTCTTTAAAGGGCCTATATTGCGCTATTTTTGGTTATAATGTTGTTCCCTCATCAAAAATATGCATTCACAAAAAATTAACACTCCAATCCTGTATATTTAGGCTGAGTTTTTCTCTCAAACAGAAAACACTCCTCTCAACTCCACCTTGTGATGTCACATGGTAATATAGGAAGTGCTCCACTGTGTTTTTAAACTCCAAACACCTTCACTAAAATCATCAGGATGAGTTGGAATTGCTAATCTCTACTGAACAAAACGTAAAAAGCAGCTGTTAACTTACTTCATGACATGCTGAGTAATTCAAACCTGTGTGAATAAAACAAAACACAGCTCCAGGTATGTTTTGAGGTGGTACAAACATTATAACATGACTTAAAACTTACAAGAATCCATTTTGTGTAATATAGGACCTTTAATATTGAGCATAAATGCTGCATAAATAGTGTGTTAAAAGCATGTTGCTGTTGTTGTGTCCTTGTGCAAGATGCTTTACTTACTGTCTTCTGTAGCTGTGCACAATGATGTTTGTAGTTTAGTATGGTCCTGAAAACACATAGTTAACATTCATAGATAATAGCTGGCTGGTTAGGTCACTCACACTATGTTCATGTTTGTGTGTGTCAGCTGATTTGCCTCGGGCTCTAGAACATGTCGGCGGTAGGACCCAGCGGAGCTCACCGTGCACATGGCAGAGAGGCTGCTCGGGCTGCTCCTCCACTTCACTCTTCTGTGCTCCAACATCCCTCATTCTCTGCTTTCTCCTTCTCACCGTAACTTCTGTCACTTAACGACACCTTTTCACACAAAAAACACCAACTTTATTACCTCCGCCTCCTAACACCAACCTTCACTGTGCTACTGTACCCGCGAGAAACTTTTTTTTAACATCTTAATTGGAGTGGCAAGCTTGCATCTCCCTGGAGTCTCTTGTGGGGATTTTTTCGCTTTTGCTGTGTTTTTTTTTCTCGCTTCTGTGAACACTTTTGTCTTGTATATTTGAGCTGTCACCGTTGTGGATCTGTCCGCTGTGGCTGCTAGCATCAGGCGGAGCGAGCGGGGAGCCCTAGCCGGATTCACCTCACCTAACCCGGGCTGGCATCATGAGAGCGTGGCGCCGGCGGAAGAACTTGGCTGGTGGCGTCTTCGCTCTTCTCTTGTGCCTCTCTGCATCTGTGGAAAATGCCGATACAGCAATTAGCAACATTAGAAAAGGTACGTTTAAATTTCTAAATGCTATTTGTGGTCATTCAAAGCCACGAGGGTGTAGTTACTGTAAATGAATTACTGTAAAATCACTGTTCGCGCGCGTGCTGTTGGGGTTAGCAGTGATGTGGCAAAAAAAGAGAAAACTTTCTTTTTTTTTTTTTAGTGCACATTCTTAAAAAAAATACTCCAACACAGGTTAAAGTTCATAAAAAGAATATTTTTTTGTATTTTATTTTGTAACTGCCCATGAAATCTGATTCAGAGGCGAGACTATGTTGGTTCCCTCATAGTCTAAAATTCTCCACTAAAGACAACTTGGACTATGCATCACAAAATCACACTTTGTTGCCCATTTTCATATCATAAACATTCAAAAGTATCTATACTAGGCAAATATGACATGCTTTAACATTATATAACGGGAATAAACATCATTACTCCACACATTATAATATTGCATTGTTAAAATCAAAATTATTTGTATTGTATAATCTATAGGAAACACAATCTCTATTTATTTGTGGCTACAACGAGACAAGTCACTTCCTTGACCCCAATCCTGTTGCTTGGATGAAACAATAAGGGGAAGTGAGTCTATTCTACGGGCTGATATAGACTGATGAGTTTATCATCCACTGCCTCATCCTCACTGCTGTAAACAAATCCAACAGGATGTTTTTACACTCTGGCAGCTGCTTAATATAATCCACTGAATTAATACGCCATTTTCGAAGTCTAGTGTGTTTATGGGACAAGGCTAATGCCCAGGTACTGATTATACTGAGGCAGCTTGTGTTAGGAGAGGATGTTGTATGCAAGATGCTGTACTTTAGTTAATTAAAGCTATGAATTTTCTACTGCATCATGTACTGTGCATGTGTTAAAGGGCCCATATTATGTTATTCTCTGATCTATGTTATAATGTTTTCTGATCAAAAACCTACCCAGAGTTGTGTTTTCTCAAGTCACACATCACAAGGTGGAACAGAGCATTTTTATCTCTGAGATGTAGACAGATTAATAATAAAGGGTTACTCAAACATGTGTGAATGAAACAAAACACAACTCTGGGTATGTTTTTGAGCAAGCAACTACATTATAACATTGCTTAAAGCTCACAGGAGTCAATTTTGTGTAATATTGGACCTTCACGCTTCCGCAGGTGTGTTAGTCATTGTTTTATACTTCTGCCGCAGCTTTGTTGAATCGCTCCATGGGCCTGGGCCATTTAACATCATAAAAGTTTACAAGCATTGTGCAGTCCCTGTGAGTTTGATAGTGCTGAGTTTGGATGTAGCAGTTCTGGTGTTATAGCTTGCACCTTTCATTTTAACTTCTGAATCGGTGAATTAGTGCAAGACACTATAGTGAATTGAAGTATGTGTCTCTTGAATAGCTCTTCAACCAGCTATCATCGTTCAAAGTGTATCCCCCCACTCAAAAGGTGAATCTGTGAAATAATATAGCCTGTGGAGAATACCAGATCTCTTCTTCCTCTATTTTTCTTCACTTCATTCGGGACCAAACCAACTCATTTGATTGGAATTGAATTTACTTGCTGTTGTATTTATTTTTGTTAAAAAATTGCCCACTGCTGATTAATAACAATTTTAATTCTCATAGTTGAAAAACAATCATTTGCTTGGTATCTTACAGATGTTTACTATGGTGATTCAGTCAAAGTCTTGAGCTCATCTTTCATGTTGCTGGATATTGACTGCACTAACCCCCGGTAATACTTGTTATGGGCTTTCCCAACATTAGTGGAGATTAGAGTTGAGCGAAGAACCCCAGATCTCATCAGCAAGTCTCATAATGGTCATGATACTGCAGCACACAAGCCCAGATGGAGCTGAAGAAAGAAGAAGAGAGAAGGTAGCCAACATGGCATGGAGAACACCAGTGGCCTAAATCTGGTTGCAGACAGCGCTGTAGCCAGATTTATAATGATTATTCCACCAAACTGAGCCAAATTTTGGATAATGCCTTGCTGACATGGCCCAAAGCTTGCCTCAGTGCTGTTATGGGGAGTGATGATCTAAAACTGAACGTGCATTTCCGCAAAAATAATCTAACATCCACTTGTGCCAAAACCGTCGTAGTTGCGTGCCAAGATTTCAATGTGATCAGCTTTTTCTAATAGCATTGTGCGCGCAGTTACCATAGGCTAAGTGGTGCATAAAGTAATAATAACACCATGGGAGTGATTGAAAGTATAAAAAAAGGACATAGAGATGGGTGTGGTGAGGGAATACATGTTTTAGCTTAATTAATAAAATACTGCATCATTTCCGATACGCCTTTTTATGTAAACAGTGTCTAAGTCAATTCCAGTAAGGAACAGTGGGTTGAGCGTTTGCCTACTAATAAGATGGTCACAGGTTTCTAGCGCATACTGCCATTGTGTCCTTGGGCAAGACACACAACCTTGACAAAATAATAAAGCAATGAATAAAAAAAGACTTCAGTTTGAGTGATGGCTCTAGTTCACTTCAACTCCCTAAACAAAATAAATGAAAATCTCCAAAGTCTGGTAATTAGCAGATTCCTATCAATGCGTGTCTCCTTAAAAGTTGTTTATTTTAAGACTAGACTATTAATTAGACAGAAAACCCAATATATGCACTTTTAAATGAAGCCTATTTCTCTTCAGAGCTAATTTACCTTTTGAACTTTACTCCAAAAATAAAGAAGTCCCAAAAGGAGCTGGATAGAGCGGCCGATGTTTACAAATGTTTGATGAATCTTCTCCATTCGTGGCCTCCATCTTTCTTTGTCTCTCCTCTGCATATCAACCACTCTGAGTCTATTTTCTAAGCAAGGCGGAGCTCAATAAATAATTAGAAGGGGACCGAATGACCTGGATTAGATGGGGTGGATATCATCTGGTCAGGCCACAGCATCAGACAGAATTAATTAGAAAGATTAGATTGTCTGCGCTGTCCAAACAAACTTGAGGAGATGGCGATTAGAAGCAACCAAGTGGCCTTCAAGTGATATTCCAGATGTTTTGGACAGAAGGTTCAATATATGGAGATTTGGGAAAGATAAACCTGCTTGTGTTACTGTAGAGTGTGCCTTTGCTCTTTTGGTGTCACTTTTTTTTTTCTTCCACCCACCATAGTTTTTTCAGTCCCTTAACATCCTCTTGGCAACCCTCATTAAAGTCCTAGAGAAGGAGACAGATGCAAGGCACTCCTTTTGCTTAGTTCTAAAAAAAACATGTTTTTCTTACAATTTTTTCCACTTTTTGCAGTTTGTGTTAGATTCTCTTAAATTTTAACAAGGCATGCATACCAAAAATCTAATCTCATTATATGCAAACATAACATTTGAATTACATATTTTTTATGAGTATTAAAATTAATTATCTTATGTTTTTCTGATGGTCCCTTTGATATTATATTGTCAAAAGTGTCACAATAATATAGTGGTCCATGACAATATGTCATAGTCTCTTTGCTTAAATTCATTATGATGCAGCAATAATTAAAAAAAACAACAGAGGAGGGAACTACATAGACCATGATCCTTTGGTCTGTTTCATTGCATACTACATAACAAAATAACTGTTATTAAGCACTTTTAAATCTTAATTCTTTGGATTACGACAGTACCAAAGGTTAGTCAAGGAATGTTAAAAGTAAAAAGTAGCATTATCACAATTTTATTAGCATTCACAAAATACTGCAATAAAAATCGTACTGTGAGACACATATTGTGAAAATATTGCAATGAAAGATTTAGATATTCTTACATCTCTACCAAATAATAATGAGATTTTGGCATGCATGTAAACTTAGCCACTGATGATTTTGATTAGGTCTTTTGCAGATTATTCCCATTATAGAACATCTTTACTACACTTTTCGAAGTTCTTCTTTTTTCCCCAGTTTGGTACGAATACTTTTTTCAAGGACAACCCTGCTTCGGAAATCCTGGAATATCACTTTAAAACATCTAAATTTACTCCCGGTGTCTGCAGCCTTTAGCACCGCAGCCTATCTTTCAGTTCTGTTTCCTGGGGATGTAAGTCACACCTATCGCCTGCCGTGGCTCGGAGCATTGACGTAAAGCTGCTACAAAAACTTCTCTGCTAAAGCCATTTAAGAAATAACCTCGCCCAGGCTGTCTTTTAAAGTCTACCAGTCGCTGTCAGTTGACATTTTGAGGACAAGCTGGCATTGATTTGTTCGCCACGAGGGAACCACGGACGCAGTTAGAGACGTCTCCTCCCGTTAGGCATCATTGGTCATTATAGCCATCAGGGTGATTTAGCCTCTTCCTCTCCTCCTCAGCACGCGCCACACTGCCCAAGGAGGACGGGAGCACAGAGGTAATAGATGCAGGAGTCACACAGATATAGTGTTGGGATCGCAAAAACTTTATGGCAATAAGGCTCTGAGCATTTCCAGATGTCAAGACCGTAATACTTGTAGGCATCTGTAGTAATGAACTCATAGATCAAAAAAGGAAAAAAATACAGTAGAGAGAAAGGAATCAGTGAAAAACAAACTGTAAAAAAAACTATTAGACATCGACAAAATGAGAGGTATAATAAACATCCACCAAGGTGCAGCCACAATTTGTTTCAGCTGCCGTCAGTGCAATTTGTTTGCCAGCAACCATCTGTAGTGTGCTTTTTATCCATGTGTCAAACCAAAGCATTGAAAGGGCAACTTTAAAGATATAATAACTGCTATTTCACTAACCTGAAAGCTATTCATCTGTAGCACAATGATAGTGTAGATACTACTGGTCTCTCTGTGCAAGAAGTCTTGGGTTTGAGTCTTCTTCTTTTGTGGAGTAAACAATATGTAAAAATAGGCACTGACCAGGATCTTGGTTCATTTCTAGTGTCTTGTTCCCTGAAGCTGTGCAGCTGTGCTAACAGCTTTACACTTTTAACAGTCACATCCAACTATAAGGAGACTTTGAGTTTTTCCAGTGTTCTGCTTTACGATCCAACCACAGTGTCATCATGACTGTGAAGTCACCACAGCTCT